ACAGCATTAAGCACTTTATCGTAAACACACCCAACACTATCCCCAGGCATATGATAGTAGACTGACTGAATTTGTTAAGGTTTCCAACGTCATTTATAAACAATTTTAAAAAGGTTTGAGGCAGAGAGCAGTCAGAATGCTGTTGCAGTGGAAAAGGGTATTCTGTACTACAGTGTTACAGTAGAGATAAGCCAAAGTAGATGATTTTGAGAGATATTTTAAAAGTAGAATCACAAAACTCAAGATGTAAGTTTCCTATCAGGAAAGGACTGATATTTAGCTAATATGCATCAGTAACGCCACATTGTTAAAATACACAACCCTCAACTGGCAAACTGAACTGCTGCAGCCCCAAGCTCATTGAATACCTCCCTCCCCAGGGATCCCCTGAAAAGCTCCATGATCCAGAAAAGGGTAAATATGACAAGCAGGAGGTCTCCGAGACCCTGCTCCAGCATTATGGCTGACGTCCATTCTGATTGGTCAGTGCCAGTACTGTGCTAGTGGTTGTTTTGAGTATCACCCCTGAAAATGTAGGTGTAGAAAACAGACAGCATTAGTCTTTTGGTGCTCTCCCTTTCCACCTACAACTTGACTAGAATGTTCCTATGTGTCTCTGATCCCCTGACCAGGTGCACCACTGCAAGGGAATCCTCACAGAGGGTGGCAGCCTCAGATATGACACACAGCTGTATGAAATAGACCAGATCCTGGGCCATGAAGTGGCTTGATGTAACTAACTTTGTCATCAAGTAAGCAGGAGCCCTCTTCCCTTAGTTACACAAGACATGTGCTCCTTCCTGCCATGACCAGGTCTCTGTTGGTGCTCTAACTGGATGATCCAAAGGCTCTCGTGGCTTTAACATGTGGATGATTAATCAATATGTATCTAACCTTTATCACTTTCTAGAATTTGACTTCTATACTGAAAGTTTCCATCTAGATATCTGAATCTAAAAAGAGGCTGTTGTTTCTTTACCAATTTGGCATATGCCCATTCAGAATGATGAATCATCAGTCCCACGTCCTCTCAAATGAGAGCCTCAGGTAAATTTGTAAAAAGGGAAACAAAAGTAAACACAATTTTTGTCAGAAATGTCAAGGCTCTAACGCTGTTGGAAACCATCACCCACTCTTGCTGATCCTTAACCTCCACGGACCTCAGATCTTCACAAAGCTCTTAGCATCACCTTGATCCAGATAAATTACCTTTAAATTTAAAAAATGGCTTAACATTCTCCAAGACAGATCATATGACAGGTCACAAAACAAGTCTCAGTTAATTTAAGAAAATCAAAATTATATAAAGTATCCTCTCAGATCACAGTGGAATAAACTTGAAATTAACTCCAAAAGGAACCCACAAAACTATACAAACACATGGAAATTAAATAATCTGCTCCAGAATGATCTTTGGGTCAACAATGAAACCAAGATGGAAATTTAAAAATCTTTGAACCAAACGATAATAGTGATATCAAAACATCTGGGATTACAGCAAAAGTGGAGCTAAGAGGAAAGTTCATAGCATTAAATGCCTACATTAAAAAGTCTGAAAGAACACAAATAGACAATCTAAGGTTACACCTCAAGGAACTAGAGAAATGGGAACAAACCAAACCCAAACCAAGTAGAAGAAAAGAAATAAAGATTAGAGCGGAACTAAATGAAATTGAAACAAGAAAACAATACGAAAGATCAATGAAACAAAAAGCTGTTTTTTTGAAAAGATAAAATTGATACACGATTAGCTAGATTAACCAAGAAAAGAAGAGAGAAGATCCAAATAAGCTCAACTAGAAATGAAACAGGAATCATTACAACCGATACCACAGAAATACAAAAGATCATTTGGGGTTACTATAAACACCTTTATATGTACAAACTAGAAAATCTAGAGGAGATGGATAAATTCCTGGAAATATACAACCCTCCTAGATTAAATCAGGAAGAAACAGAAACTCTGAACAGACCAATAACAAGTAGAGAGCTTGAAACAATAAAAAATTGCCAACAACAAAAAAGTCCAGGACCAGATGGATTCACAGCTGCATTCTATGAGACATTCAAAGAAGAACTGGTATCATTCTTACTGAAACTATTCCAAAAGATAAAGAGGGAATTCTCCCTAAAGTATTCTGTGAAGTCAGTACCACCCTAATATCCAAACCAGGAAAGGACATAACAAAAAAAGAAAACTACAGACCAATATCCATGATGAACATGGATGCAAAAATCCTCAAGAAAATACTAATGGAATCCGACAGCATATCAGAAAGATAATACACCATGATCAAGTGGGTTTCATACCAGGGATGAAGGGATGGTTTAACATATGCAAGTCAATATATGTGATACATTATATAGACAGAATCAAAAACAAAAATCATCTCAATAGATGCAGAAAAAGCATTTGACAAAATCCAGCATTGCTTTATGATTAAAACTCTCAGCAAAATGGCCATAGAAGAGACATACCTCAAGGTAATAAAAGTCCTCTATAACAAACCCACAGCCAACATTATACTGAACAGGAAAAAGTTGAAAGCATTTCCCCTGAGAACTGGAACAAGACAAGGATGCTCACTCTCACCACTTCTATTCAACATAGTACTGGAAGTCCTAGCCAGAAGAATCAGACAAGAGAAATAAATAATGGGCATCCAATTTGGTAAAGAAGAAGTCAAACTGTGGCTGTTTGCCAATGATAAGATCATATGCCTAGAAAACACTAAAGATTCATCCAAAAACCTCCTAGATGCCATAAAGGAATTCAGTAAAGTTTCAGGATACAAAATCAATGAACACCAATCAGTAGCACTGCTATACACCAACAACAACCAAGCTGAGACTCAAATCAAGAACTCAATCCCTTTTACAACAGTTGCAAAAAACAAAAGAAAGTAAAATAACATAACATAAAATAAAATACTTAGAAATATACCTAATCAAGGAGGTGAATAATTTTTACAAGGAAAACTACAAAACACTGCTGAAAGAAATCATTGATGACACAAACAATGAAAACACATCCCATGCTCATTGATGGGTAGAATCAATATTGTGAAAATGACCATACTGCCAAAAGCAATCTACAGATTCAATGCAATTCTCATAGAAATACTATCATCATTCCTCACAGAACTAGAAAAAACAATCCTAAAAGTCATATAGAACCAAAATGAGCCCACATAGCTAAAGCAAGACTAAGCAAAAAGGATAAATCTGGAGGCATCACATTACCTGCTTCAAACTATACTACAAGGCTATAATTACCAAAACAGCATGGTACTGGTATAAAAATAGGCACACAGACCAATGGAACAGAATAGAGAACCTGGAAATAAAACCAAGTACTTATGGGCAACTGATCTTTGACAAAGCAAACACAAACGTAAAGTGGGGAAAGGGCACCCTTATTCAACAAATGGTGCTGGGATAATTGGCAAGCCACATGAAGCTGGATCTTCATCTCTCAGCTTATCAAAAATCAACTCGAGATGGATCAAGAACTAAATCTAAGACCTGAAACCATAAAAATTCTAGAAGATAACTTGGGCAAACCCTTCTAGACATTGGCTTAGGCAAACAGTTCATGACCAAGAACCCAAAAGCAAATGCAACAAAAACAAACATAAATAGATGTGACCTAATTAAACTAAAAAGCTTTTAAACAGCAAAAGAAACAGAAACTCTATTGAGTAAATAGACAACTCACAGAGTGGGAGAAAATATTTGCAAACTATGCTTCCAACGAAGGACTAATATCCAGAATCTACAAGGAACTCAAACAAATCAGCAAAAAGAAAACAAACATTCCCATCAAAAAGTGGGCAAAAGATATGAATAGACAATTCTCAAATGAAGATATACAAAAGGCCAATAGACATATGAAAAATGCTCAACATCACTAATTATCAGAGAAATGCAAATCAAACCACACTGAGATACCATCTTACTCCTGCAAGAATGGCCATAATTTAAAAATAAAAAAATAATAGATGTTTGCATGGTTGTGGTAAAAAGGGAATACTTACACTGCTGGTGGAATTGTAATGTAAACTAGTACAACCACTATGGAAAACAGTATGGAGATTCCTTAAAGAACTAAATGTAGAACTACCATTTGATCCAGCAATCCCACTACCAGGTATCTACCCAGAGGAAAAGAAGTCACTATATGAAAAAGACACTTGCACACGCATGTTTATAGCAGGACAATTCGCAATTGCAAAAATATGGAACCAGTCTAAATGCCCATCAACCAATGAGTAGATAAAGAAAAAGTGGTGGCCGGGTGCGGTGGCTCATGTCTGTAATCCTAGCACTCTAGGAAGTCAAGATGGGAGGATCGTTTGAGGCCAGGGGTTTGAGGCGAGCCTGTTCAACATAGGGAGACCCCCATTTCCAAAAAAAGAAAAAAAGAAAATATATATACCATGGAATACTACTCAGCCACAAAAATGAATGAAATAATGGCATTCACAGCAACATGGATGGAGTTGGAGACCATTATTCTAAGTGAAGTAACTCAGGAATGGCAAGCCAAGTATTCTATGTTCACCCTTATAAGTGGGAGCTAAGCTATGAGGATGCAAAGGCATAAGAATGATATAATGGACTTTGGGGACTCTAGAGGAAAGGTAGGAGGAGAGTGAGGGATAAAAGTCTATACATAGGGTACCATATACACTGCTCGGGTGACCAGTGCACCAAAATCTCAGAAATCACCACTAAAGAACTTAGCCATGTAACCAAAAATCACCTGTTCCCCCAAAAACTACTGAAATAAAATTTAAACATTTAAAAAATGGCTTTGAATAAAAATAATTAAGAAGTGGCCACCTGCAGTGACTCACACCTGTAATCCCAGCACTTTGGGAGGCCTGGGTGGGTGAATGGCTTGAGCTCAGGAGTTCGTGACCACCCCGGGCAACGCAGTAAGACTCCATCTCAAAAAAAAAAAAAAAAAAAATTTAAGAAGTGTTAAATTCTCTTACCTGCTGAACTAAACTCTGAAAAAATGTCTTTATTTGTTTGAGGTTTTCCGTCGGCATCAACGTCCATGATGGTACGCCACAATTCAGAGAATCTAGCTCGTTTTTCTTTGGGCATATATATTCCATGCCATAGTGCTTTCAGCATGTAGTCAATATTAATCAGAATTTGCCCAATTCTGGTATCATAATAAGCTGGAGGTAACTGACAAGAAGAACTCTGATCATAATTAGCTTCTAAACTGATGGAAGGGATTTGATTTAGGCAATAAATTCCAATAGCCAACTCTCTTATCATTTGATGGACTTCTCTATAGTCTAAGAGGGCAGTAGGGTCCACGGGAGTCAGTAGGATTGCAGTGGAGAAGCCTACATTATTCATTTGACTCATAATTCCACACGGGAGGTCTCCTTGAGAGCGAACATCTTCTTTGGTAGACAACCAGCTAACTAGTGCAGTAGTTAGTAACTCTTGTATTTCACTCCGATCATATTTTTCAAAAAAAGCAGATGCATTTCTTTGTATTGCTAAATTTTCCAGGTAGGTTTCTTCATCTTGAACTTGCTCAAATCTAGGTAATCCTTTTTTGGGCAATCTTAACATTTCCAATTAAATCTAGTGTGTCCTTTTTGAAACTTCTGCAATGAATAAAAAGGAAAAGATTATCAATAAAATCTGACATGGCAATGACACTGGATTTCTGTAGAAATAAATCTGTACCTTTCACCTATATAAGGTTAATTTTTCATGGTCAACGGTTACAGTTTTCAAATTAAAAATAACTGCAGTACATGAAAGCTGAAATTTGAATTAAAATAATTAAAATTATAAAATCTTTAATATTAACCATGTTCTGCTTTTCAAAGAAGTCAAAAGACAAGAAGATGCATGTCAAAAAGAAATGTTAAGTTTATGTGTGAGAAGCTACTGTTACATACCTATTTTGTTGTTGGAGAGGCATTCTTTTGTGTATGTTTGTGTCTGTCTGTGTTGCTATAAAGTAGTACCTGAGACTGCATAATTTATAAAGAAAAGAGGTTTATTTGGCTCACAAGTCTGCAGGCTGTACAAGCATGGCACCAGCATCTGCTCAGCTTCTGGGGAGACCAAGCTTACAATCATGGTGGAAGGGGAAGGGGAGCCAGTGTGTCACATGGTAAGAGAGGGAACAATAGAGAGAAAGGGGAGGTGTCTATTCTTAACAACCAGATCTTTCATGAGCTCAGAGGTAGAGTTCACTCTGCCAGGAAAGCATCAAACCATTCATGATGGATCCGCCCCCATAATCCAAACACCCCACAACAAGCCCTACCTCCAACACTGGGGAATCTATTTTAACATGAGATTTGGCGGTGATAAATATCCAAACCATATGGATATTTATTTTGTTTTCAGTTTTTGAAAGCAAGACTATAATGACCTGCATGAAAGAAAAGGAAAGGGCAGGGCGTGGTGGCACACGCAAGTAATCCCAGCATTTTGGGAGGCCGAGGCAGGCAGATCACCTGAGGTCAGGAGTTCGAGACCAGCCTGACAAACATGGAGAAACCCCGTCTCTACTAAAAATACAAAATTAGCCAAACGTGGTGGTATGCCTGTAATCCCAGCTACTCAGGGAGGCTGAGACAGGAGAATCACTTGAACCTGGGAGGCAGAGGTTACAGTGAGCCAAGATCGCGCCATTGCACTCTAGCGTGGGCAACAAGTGTGAAACACTGTCTCAAAAAAGAAGAAAAAGAAAAGGAAAGCAGCATCTGCTTAACCTTCAATTTCTGTGCCAATGAATGCCTCTCTATTCCTTAAATAATAATAACCACAACTACTATTTATTGAGCATCTACTATATGTCAGGCTCTTTACTATAGAATGGTTTTATTTATTTCATCTGATTGGTCTCTATTATATAGTGGTTCTCAAAATTTAGCTTGTATCAAAATCACCTGGGGCTTGTTCAAATACAAATCACTGAATCCCACCACTGAGTTTCTGATTCAATGAGCTGTAGTGGGGCCAGGAAATATGCATTTTAGTAAAGTTACAGGAAATGCTGATACTGCTTGTTTGGGCGCCACACCTGAGACCCCAGGTGAGTGAGTCAGACCTTGTTATGCCCACTTTATAGAGGCAGAAACGGAGACCAGGAGGTTGCAGGACATGTCTGAGGTTTTACGCCTTTCAGAAACAGAACCCACGTCTGTCCATACTCAAGCCCAGACCCACGTCTAAAAGCAGCTCGCGTCAGCCATGGGCACGGGAAGGGGATAGAACAAGGAAACGGGAGGAACCTACTCTAGAATGACTGTTTTCTTGTCCGAGAGAGGGGCGCTGCGTCCGCGCCGTTCCCGTGGGGCTGGGAACAGTCGTCGCCGCCTTAGATGACTTCTCGCGGGGCCTTGAATCCGCCCTCAGGGCCCCTGCATAGGACAACGGGAGGCGCACCGGAAGGAACTGAGAGGAACTTTCAGGGCTTTTCGCCCCACCGTGTCTGCCCGGCCCTCCTCGCCGCGCCGGCCAACACTGCCGCCGCCCGGGCGCGGGTCGAAGCGGTTGGTCCTCCGGGTCGTGGGGTGGCGGGGCCGCTCCTGAGGCGGAGCTTGCGGGCGACTAGGCCTGGTGCATCCCGCAGCAGCAGCAGCGCCCCCAGGCGGCGCCCGGCCCCTTGGCTGGCTCAGACCCGTCGCGTGCTCATCTTCCCAAGCCCGCTTTAGCGCTCAGTCCAGCCGCATGCCGTGGGCACTGTGCCGCCCTCACTATCTGCCTCTGCTAAAACACCAAAACAGAGTGGCAGAGGAGACAGCGCCGGGCGTTGAGGCAGTCCCGAGTTGGAATGCCACCTCCATCATCATTCTTTCATTCGACAAGCATTTATGGAACACCTATTATGAGTCAGGCACTGGAAACCCTAGAAAACAGGGCAGACACGAAACCCCAAGAAGCTTACAGTTGAACAGATCATCTCGCAGCTATATTTAACAGTGTGCCAATATTAGATGGAATGACAGCACTCGAATGAAAGCTAACCTAGCTCAGGGCTCGGAAAGGCTGCCTGAGGCAGTGCCCTTTCCCCCTCCGGGCCTAGAAAATGAAAAAGAGCTACCCAAGCAAAGAACTGGACAAGTAGCTTTTCAGGAACAGGGAACAGCAGGAGAGAAAGAATTGAAGTGAGAACAAAGTTGAAATGATTGAGAAACCGAGCAAAACCCTGCTTAGGGAACAAGAGAGATGGGGGCACAAACCGAGCTGCAGAGGTGCGCGATCGACAGATCATGCAGGCTGCTGAGTAATGATTTTGAATTTCATCCCAAAGGATTAGCCTAGAGTAGTGGCAGTGGAGGTGGGGCTCAGGGACTGTGGACAGATTTGAAAAATAATGAGGTTGCCTGTTGGTGACAGATTGAATGGGGATATGTTGAAAAAGAAGGTTGTGTCCAAGTGAGAGCCACATTTTTGTCAGGAGCAACAGGATATCAGGGCAAGATTAAGAGTTCAGTTGTGTACATAAGTGACCTTGAAATACCTGTGAGAGAAACTGAGATGTGAGATATGCTTTAGATAAACAGTTCTGGGCTAAGAATGGCAGTAACGGTTAGACGTATAAGTTTTGGCAGGTTTATAGTAATTGAAGCCAGGGGTGGGGTTGAAATCACCAAGGGAGAGCATACAGAATGAGGAGTTGAGAACCAAGGATTAGAGACCCGAGAAATTTAACATTTAAAGGTCAGGTAGAGAGAGTGGAATCAGCAAAGAAGACAATGAAAGAACAGCCAAGAAGGCAGGAGGAAAACCAAAATTGGTCACAGGAGCCGAAGAAGTGTGTGGGGGAAAAAAAAAAGGAATGGCCAACTTTATTGGATGCTGCTGCTCGGTCAGGGGAGACGAGAACAAACTCTTCCACTGAATGTAGCAACATGGAAGTTCTTGGTGACTGTTTGGGGCAGAATTTCTCTTCCAGTAATCATGTCATTATTTTAGCTACCATGGAAATAAATATTAATTTAAGAGGACTATTCCAGGGCCTTTTTTTTTTTTTAACAGAGATGTGAATGTTTGCACTTAATATGAACCATATATGTACATTCTCCTACTTCAAGGATTTCCCCCCACCCCCAGGTAGACAAATGGTTTGTTTCATGTGTCCCAAATCTTGGTAAAGAGTTGTCTCCTTTTTTAAAGGATCAACACAGAACTCCATCCCAGAGCTAATGAGATTGAATAGCAGAAGGTTGTAAATACCCAGGCCCTCTTGGTGTTCACACACATGCATGTATATCCTCTCTCTCTCTCTGTCTCTCTCACAAGTATCCTTCTGGAGCAGATGACCTGGAAATTCCTTATAAAAATTTGACTGATTAATACATTTAAATCTCATAGAATAGAGTAGCCCCTGAAATATAGCATTATTAAGTCATAGCTATTTTCAGTATTGAACTGTATTTTTGTTATAATATTCAATTCTAAGCCATGGGGCAAACCTCTTAAGTTCATCTACTCCCAATATAAGCAATGTCAGTTTAGTGCTCAGGTCCACACAGACACTTGAAGTTGTCTGCTTCCAGATTGAGGGGTGAAAGCTATGTAGGTAGTATCTAAATTTGGGTTGAACATTGCATCTTCCAGGGAATAAATTCGGGGCATGTGAAAGCCCTTGCCAGGTTACTGACCTGTTTGTCAGGATCATAAAATTTCTTTGATACTATGATTAAAGAATCAAAGGGTGGCCAGATCCAGAAACGGTGTCAACCCTAAGGGACAGATTTCACAGTGACACTGGTATGGCAGTTAACAGTTGAGTAATGTGGGTGGATGTCAGGTTGGAGTGAATAGACAAAAAGGTGGGGAGAGTGACTGTGGATGAGAGGCAAGACATGGTAAATAGAGGAAGACGTATTCATCCTTGTCTTCAGGTTGACTAGGCTGAGGAGGAGGAGGAAGGGCTGGTTTTGCTGTCTCAGGGGTGGCAGAGGCAGAAGAAAATCCACATATAAGTGGAACTGCACAGTTCCAATGTGCTGTTCAGGGGTCAACTGTAATCTTAAAAAGTTATTGGGGTGGGAAAATGAGCTGCCTAAAGAGATGTAATAGAAGTAACAAGTACTGTTCAGGAGGATGAACCTCAAGCAAATTGTTTAACTTCTTTAAACCTGTAGTTCTTTCATCTGTGAAACACGACCCTGTCTAAACCACAGTCCCTGAGGAGAGGGAACTGAATCATTTCTGGATGGAAGTATGAAAGAGAGTGAGTCTGGGAAAACAAACTTTCTCTTCCCTCTCACACAACACTTCTGACACCAGATGTGTGGATTTTTTCTACACCAAGCAATTCTCCAGCTCTCTGAATACCAGCTGGGTATCCTACAGTTTAATCCTGCCTCTATCTTCCTGGAGTTAGTGTCAGATCCTTCAACTTAAGGGCTCAGTGCCAAAGGTGTCTCTACTTTAGATGGCAATTTCAAGTCTGGATCTCTGGTACTTCTGATTAACCAGCTACATAAATTGGGTGTTTTCATGACCCCCTATTCAGGTTTGATAATTTGCTAGAATGACTCACAGCACTCATAGAAATACTTACGTTTACTGGCTTATGATATAGGATACATCTCAGCACAGCCAAATTGAAGAGATGCATAAGGCAAAGTATTCAAAAAATATTACAGTGAGAGGGAGCCTCCATGTCCTCTCTGGGCATGCCACACTCCCAGCACCTCCACATGTTCAGCAAACCAGAGGCTCATCAAATCTTGCTCCACAGTTTTTATAGAGTTTAATAGACCTTAACCTTCAGCAACACTCTCCCTCCCAGAGGAGGGTGGGTGGGGATGAAATTCCAACTTTTCTAATCTCTTGATTTTTATTTTTTATTTATTTATTTTTTTAGAGACAGGGTTTCACTGTCACCCAGGCTGGAGTGCAGCGGTGTGATCCTAGCCTCACTGCAGCCTCCACTTCCTGGGTTCAAGTGATCCTCCCACCTCTGCCTCCCGAGTAGGGAGGCACATGCTTCCATGCCCAGTTCATTTTCTGTACCTTTTTTTTTTTTTTTTTTTTTGGTAGAGATGGGGTTTCATCATGTTGCCCAAGCTGGTCTCAAACTCCTGGACTTAAGAGATCCCTCTGCTATGGCCTCCCAAGCTGCAAGTATTAAAGGCTATTTAGAGACCTCACTCTAAGTCACCGCATTAGCATAAACTCAGGTGTGATCAAAAGGGGCTTATCACGAATAACAAAAGATACTCCCTATCACTAAGGAAATTCCATGGTTTTAGGAGTTCTGTAACAGGAAAAAATGAAAATTCAACCAAATGAACTTTAAAACTACTATTATTATACAATAATAAAGCAGCAGAGTATCTTACTTTTATATAAGTAATTACATAAAAACGTATTTTTATATTGTTACACTGTGAATCACATTACAATTTAGTCTCCTTTTGAATAGAAAGATTTTCTAAGGAAATGATTTGGAGCCGTCCACATTTATCAGATGCCTTTTCATTATTTTTTTCCATTTTTGCAATTCTTGATCCAAATTGCATGGCCCGTTTGGGCAGAAGAGCAGAGGCTGTAAGACCAAGTTCCACAGCTGCAAGGCGTAAAAGTAGTTTTTCACCAATCCCTCGGGGTAAAGTCAAGTTTGCTTTTTCCCAAATTGGTAGAGAATTTAGAAAGGAGACAACATTTTCATCCAGGAAAGGAAATCTAAAATAAACAGATAAATAATATAACCACTATGTAAAAATAAAATCAACCTGCTTTGATTTATACAGTTTTATAGCTAAAATGTAATCAAACTAAGTGTTTCATAACATATGACATATACTACAAAATAGTCTAAGTCTCAATAAATAAATTAGGCTTACTGTGTCCAGAAATAGTTTCAAATTGTCTTACAAGGTATCTTTGTGGAGGCCTTGAAAACAAACATGATTTTTTTTTTTTTCCACCTAGGCAAGCACTACCACACCCAGCTAATCTTTGTATTTTTGGTAGAGATGAGATTTCGCCACGTTGCCCAGGCTGGTCTCGGACTCCTGAACTCAAGTGATCCACCTGCTTCGGCCTCCCAAAGTGCTAGGAATACAGGTGTGAGCCACTATGCCTGGCCTACAAGCATGATCTTAACTAACTATTCAATCTGTGTCTGATCTTTATCACAACGAAAGAAATGACACTTTAGGGATATGGAACCAATGTAGAAGGGCTCCACAGCCTGAACCTGCAAAACACTTATAGTAAAATTTTGTTAATCAAAATTATTTAATTATACTTAAACCAATTAAATGGTGATAAATTACTGTAACAGAACAAAATATTAGATTTTTTCCCCCTAAATTCTGGGATGACCTAGAAACAAAATATTAGATTAAAAAAATAACTTTCTGCCCTTTTGCTTCCCCAATTTCTACAAAATTCTGTTCTTTTTCTGTTTAAAATACTTTAACACCCACCATCCCACATCTCCACATGCAGTACAGTTACACTAGTGTTTCCGTTTTATTACATCTTAGTGTAGGTTAAGAGATTGGAAAGGGCAAAGACATTTGTTATCTGGAATATTAAAT